CTCAGTTCACTTAAAGTGCCCGCCGCTTTACGATCAGCCGGGCCTTAAACTCAATCTGCGAGTTTTCCAACCCAGCCGCTCCCTCCTGGCAGTCATCCCCCAAACACCTGTCCTTCCTATGGATGGACCTGGAAGAACTATGAGGCCTGTTATGTGCTGTTTTGTGGCAGACGCCTCTAGGTGCTTGGGAAGTGCAATCCTTCCTGAATTTCAAGCTATACACTATCAGTGGTCGGCAAACTCATTAGTCAACAGAGCCAACTATCAACAGTACAACGCTTGAAATTTCTTTTGAGAGCCAAATTTTTTAAACTGAAACTATATAGGTAGGTGCATTGTTATTAACTTAATTAGGGTACTCGTAAGACTTAGGAAGAGCCACACTCAAGGGGCCAAAGAGTCGCATGTGGCTCGCGAGCCGCAGCTTGCCGACCAGGGCACTAGATGATTGGGTGAAGATGTGGTACATAGACAATGGAATCCTACTCAGCTATGAGAAAAGGTGAAATGCTGCCATTCGTGACAGCACGGATGGGTTGAGAATGAAATGCGAGGCACAATGTCAGACAGAAAAAGTTAAGAATCACATGATTTCACTCGTAACGTATAGAATTGAAGGCAACAAATGAACAAACAAGTAAAACAAACAAACACTCATAAACACAGACGACAATGTGGTGGTTACCAGCAGAAGGAGTGTGGGGACTCATAAAGGATCAAGGGCATCAAATACATGGTGAGGGAAGATCTGACTTTGGTGGTGGGCACACAGTGCAATAGGCAGATGATGTACCATAGAGTACACTTAAAACCTATTTAATCTTATTAACCACTGCCACCCCAACAAGTTTAATTCTTAAAAAAATGAAAATTTAACAAAACTATAAAAACAGATCCAGAGACAGAGAAGAATCAATCAGACCATCAAACCTCAGAGGGAAGGTAGGGGAGGGTAGGGGTAAGGAGGAGAGATCAACCAAAGGACTTATATGCATGCATATAAGCCTAACCAATGGACACAGTCAACAGGGGGGTGAGGGCATGAGTGGAGGTGGATGGGGAGTAATGAGGGGATAAGGACACATATGTAATAACTTAATCAATAAAAAAAATTTTTAAAAAACGCAGACACACACACACACACACACACACACACACACACACACACATATATATATAT